CTGCTTAAAAGATTACTCTGTGAATGATTCTGACCTTTGAGCTTTCTGAGAAGTCAACAGTGGACTTTCAGTGGGTGTAATCTCCACATGACCTGAAATATACCTTTCAATGATCTGTCCTTTTTAGAAAAGGAATGTTGGAACCTCAAAAGTAAAAAGCTTTCTGATATTACTGTGTAAAGAACAGAGCATGGATTTTCTTAGTTAGGACTGAATTTTCACTGGAAGTTACTGATAAATATTCTTGGTTAAAATAAAGAAAAATGAGATATTGAATGTAAATGCTGACTGTTGGTAACTGAAATTCTGTTTCAGTTTAAATAGTGACAGTGATCTTAAAGTTTTTGAAATATGGAAACAAGTATTAGGAACAGGGAGGAAGGAAACAGAACTTTTATGCCATAGTTTATTTTATCAGATTTATTAATTTATTCAAATAGCATTTTGGCCTTTTATATCAATATATTTGTGTACTTAATTACAAATTTGGAAATAGTATATGAGTTTGCTGTTATATTGTCTTATGTTTCAGTTAGTGAGAGATAGACACATAACCAATTTCTCAGAAAATATTTAATTATTCCTTGGTAGAACGGGACAGGAGAGTCATCCCTCTAGAAGTAGAACTTTGAACTTGTGAAGAAGAATTCCTGAGTCAATAAATGATTAAAAGGACAGTTTCTGAACAAGAAAGTACATAATTATAAGTAACTAATTATATAAAAAGGTTTGACATACCTATATTTGCAGGATATTCCAAAGAACATGCAGGGTAATAATGAAAGAAGTTGGACTGGTTGAACAAAACCAAACAAGCAACCAAACAGAATATCTGGAATTAATTATGCAAACTAGAGGTTTTTATTCTTTAACTTTAAATCCATCACCTGTGCAACATCTTAAAATGCAGATTTCTGTCCAGGATGCACAATTTTTTTCAGGAAAAGACTTTTTGAGAATTTAAATGAAATGTTTTTAAGTCATACATAAAAGCATTAAAATGTACATATTTTGGGTACCCATTTATGTTTTGACACATTATACATTGTATAGTATTTTAATATGGCCAAACATCTGTTTTCTTAAACATTTACCATTTATTTAATTTAAAATATTTTTAGGCCCAGCGGCCCACCTGCTTGATAGACAGACCACCCCAACAGGAGGAGGGGCCCAGCAGATGCCTGCGAGACCTGGAGAAGAGGCCCAGTGGCCCACCTGCACGGTAGTTAGACCACCCCAACTGGAGGAGGAAAATGGATGGCATTAGAGCAGATTGTGCTAAATGAAGCTAGCCAATCCCTAAAAAACAAATGCCAAATGTCTTCTTTGATAT